TCTTATCCCTGTATGTCCCCCTGTCCCTCTTCTGTCCCTGCTCGTGTCTGGCAAAGGCAACAGATGTGTCTCAGATTGGTTGGAGCAGGGTTTTGGCCTCAGGTGGATTTTGCTTGTCCCCATCCCTGCTTCCCACTCCCCTACCTAGTGCCTTGTTTTAGCTTTGATTAAACCTTTTGGGTCTGGGGTTTGTTTTCTTATGTTTTTACGATGTAAGGTGACAAAGCTACCCTGCACCCGAAGAGTTGCGGTGTTTTGGAGCGACAGAGTGAATCGAAAGCAAAGCAGAACGTGTCTGCAAAGGGCTGTAACTGTCTGGAGGGCTGATGTTGGGGAGAGAAGTTTACCTGGAGCCTGGGGGGACCCACGGAAATATTTCCACTCAAACTTCATAAAACTTAACTTTAAACCCAATAAAAACCTCTGCTCCTTCCCCTTCTGTTCTCCCGTTTCCTTTCTTTCTCTACCGCTCTGGATAAAACTTCCTCGTTTTTTGGCTTGCAGTATTTCTTTTAATTTTAAAAGAGGCTTTAGTTGCTACCTTTTTAGTTTATAGATTGTTATTCTTTTTTGCTGTGAAATAATTTCTCTTTTTTTTTTTTTTTCTTAAATCCATGCTCAAATTTTAGTGGTAAGCTCTTGTTTTGAAGGCTGTGATTAAAATGTGATTCCTTATTTTCTTCCTGGAATCCTTTCTCAGTTTACAGTTTATATAAGTGGTGGGACAAATCTTTCCTGCCTTACCGTATATGACACTGTGGTTAAATGTTTCCGTCCCCAACTTAATTAAATCCAGTTGCTTACTTCCAATTCAGATCTAATTAATGTACTGCAATAGCTGGTTCTGGGCTTAATGGAACCGGTCAAAACTTTTCAAAACTGCCCACACAATGTAAATCCCATCTGGAAATGAGTTTTTGTTCTGACCTGGAATGAAAGCAAGTATGCACAAGCATTCCTGCAAACTGGAAATCCAAACTATGTTGCGGTTGCAAGTGTTGGTGCAAAAAACACCAGTCTGGTAACGTAGGCATTTGGTTCCCAACTCTGTTTTGTTTATGGTGCATTGGGTTTTCAGTGTGGCATCCCAACAGGAGCTGTCTGATGGTGCCCCAGTGACAGCCACAGGCACTGGGACAGTAAGGGGCATAGATTGGAGTGTAGGGAATTATGGATCTGCCTCGCTGCAGGAGGAGAAAAGAATAGGATATTTCCTACTGTATCTTTTAGGAGCGCTCAAAAATGCTTCAGTGCACTTGTGTAGGGCACCAGGATTTGGTTGTCATGGATGAATGTAGAGGCAGTGCAGGAAAACACAAATGTGGAAACAGGAAACAGCCAGCGTGAAAGGTTGGAATTTTGAAATGAAATTCCCAGATTTTCCAGCATTGGGTTCCTGAGAGGGGAGCGTGCATTTCGATCTCTCCGGGGAACACATTTGCGAGCAGCTCAGCTTTTGGGATGTTTGTAATAAAATTTTTGTGATTAAAAGAATGTTGATGAAAGACTTCTGACCTATCTAAAAAACTTTAGAGCTGTTTTCCTCTCTGTTTCTGCTGACTCCAGTCACCAGTGCTGTCAACAGTGTTTAGGAATACCATTATTCAGTGTTCAGTGTTGTTTCCTGATAAAGAAATAATGGCAGGAAAAAAAAATCCCCTGCTGACATGTTGAAGGCAGACCGTGTGTGCTGTGAGCAAGGTGACACTTGCAGGCATCTGGGGCTTAGGTGCCTGCAGTCCCTCGTTAGCAGTTTGTAATCAGCATATGGCATGTCTGCATGGCAAGATGCAGGGAGTGATCAGCCCAGCCATGCTTTGGACTAAACTATTAGATATTTTTCCCCTGCTACCCAAGTCACTCCTGTAGACATTTGGATCTAGCTGTGTCATGCTGTTGCACAGGAGGTGCTGTGAAAGGAGAACCCAAGAAAGGAGAACCCAAGAATCCCAACCCTCCCTGTCGCAGGTTGTGCTTCGCTCTCAGTCCCCTCCATCCATCTATGTCCTGGAAAAAGGGGGTGACTCACATCCCTGCTCCGTGCCAGCCTCTGCTGGAGGTGTGTTGGTGACCCGCCCGTGAGTCACTGCAGCACGGACACTGCCTTTCCTTGGACAACTTTCCGTTCCTCGGCCCTGCTATTTTTGGGCCCAGTAATTACGAGGTGAGCCGTGAATCACCGCCGTCTCGCTGTACACCGGGAGGAAACCAGGCAAATTGTGTTAACGTGCTTGGCAGGAGGAATTCTTGTTCTCCAGTGTTTTACAGGCTTTGGCCCTTCTTCTCGCTCCCCAGAGGGATGTGCTCACCCTTCCTCATGTGGAGCTGTCACGCAGGATTCAGGAACGGCCAGACAGCCTTGGGCTCGTGTTCCCTCCGGCCGGGTGTAGTTTTCTGGGCAGAAAGTGATGCTTCAGAGGCCTGGAGGGGATTCCCAAGGGGTCCCAAAGGCCTTTATTGATTTGTTCATACAGTCCACATAGGCAGGGTTTAGATTAGAAAATAGTATTAGATGGATAACCATGGAGGAGGCCAGACACACGTGTTGACGTTGGCCTCTAGGGCAGCTGGGCTTGCAGCGTTTGTGCCATTCTGAGGGACGCTGGTGTGTTGAGAGGTGCACAGCTTCACAACTATGTCAGAGCTCCCCAGCAGAACCAGGGGGCAATAGCTGACCTTTTTGTGAAGGGTTTGATGGTGAGTCAAGAGAGGGACATGTGGGACTTTCTTCCTTCTTTCCAAGGGACGGACCTCATGACAGCATTGCCCCCTCAGCAGGGAGGAGTGTCAGGGTGTTCTGCACAAGCAGTGGTTAAGTTCCATCCCTCTGCTTCTCCACTTTGCTTCCCACCACCTAAGCAGGATAGGTTCACCTGTAGCCTTGTTTTAATTCCCTGGCATTCCTACACATGTTTTTCTTACACATTCCTGCCTCTGCCAGTCCCTTCCCAGCTGAGCTTTAGGATTCAATGTGCCTGTTAAAATCTGGTCTCCAAACGCTTCTTCTCAGATACAAGAGAACCAAGGGCATATTTTTGCACCCAGGAATCCCCAGGCTGGAAAGGAGTCTGCTGAGGATTGTCAGGCTGTTGGAGGAGGATTGGGGATGGAGGCACTGTAAACCTGCAGGAATTTGAAAAACCTACTTTAATTTAAGAGGAATGTCCTTTTGTTCCCAAATGGATGGGCCTTGCTCCAGAGGCATTCAGGTGCAGTAACTGGTACCAGATGGGCTGTGAAAAGCAACACAAACAGGTGGTGAGGACAACAACCACAGACTTCAATTTCCTTGACAGCTTCTCCCTGTACCTTCCATACCCCCTGGAGAACAGGAGGATGAGGGAACCTGTCATATCTGTGTATGGCAAAAGGAATGACTGTCGAGAGGATGTTCTGCAACTGCATATAGCAGGTCAAGCCCTTTGACTCTCAGTGGTGAGGCTGACTGTCATCTGGGCCAAGGTGCCTAGTTATGAACTTATAATTAACTCACATGTGCATTTTTATAGATACAGTGATCAGTGTATTTTAGTGTATGCTGACATGGATATTGGCTCAGATCCCCCCAGGTGTAACTGCTGCTCTGCCACCCCAGAGAGTGGGACCACACTCACATTGTCCCGCTGTGCTTGGGGGAGTTGAAGGCTGGGGCTGCAGGAACATGGGAAGCCTTGATGTTTCTGGAGGGATTCCACACAAGCTGGAGCACTTGAAGAGGGATGTGTACAAGGCATGCCAGTCCTGCAGCCTGCACGGACTGTTTTATGGCTGCAGGAATGGCCTCCTGCCTTCCCAGGCTGGTGCCTTGCTCTCTACTTCCTTCAGTGTGGCATCCCACAGTAACTGAAGTGTTTGCTGGGCTGTGACTGCTGTGATGAGTGAACATACTCTGGTACAGGAGATGTTGCTCTGCAGCAGCACTGGAAAAAGGAGAAATGGTGCAGAGCAGATATTTGCTAAGAAAAGCCATTTCATGGTTGTACCAGCTCTGATGTTGCTCCAGTGACCATCGGCACAGACAGCAGTGATGAGTGTGACTCCAGATGTATTGATTTATTGCTGAGTAAATGCAAACCAGGTACAGAACAATACAATCTCTTATGGGACAGAGATTGTTGCTCAACACCTTGCTGGGCTGGGCAAGGCACAGAGGATGCCAGAGAGGGCACAGCTGTTCCTCGCTCAGCAGTACATGATGTGCTTATGCTCAGTCTCTCTCGTACTGGGTTTTTGCTTCCCAATGGCAATGCTATCCATGCCTATCTGACTGCATTTCTATGTCCTTGGCTTGCCAGAATACAAGTGAAACTGGCTTTTGTCCTTGTCTCACGTTCAGGCCCGTATCAGTCACGCTTCATTTCCACTGTCTGACACCTCTTTGTTCACAGCTCCCCGTTTCTGCCCGAATCGACGCCTCACGGTCTGGACGTGGACAGGATAAGAGAATTTAAACCAAACAGAGCAGCAGAGGACAGCATTACCTTGGCTGTAGTCAAACCTAGAGTAAAGCCATTTCCTTGTGCTGTCCTTCTGCAGAGACAGGCTCATTTTCTGACAGCCAGTAAGAGCTGATGCAGAGCTTGTGCTACCCCGGAGATCCTTATTATATCCCAGTCAGGGCAATCTTTGGAAATGTGAAGCCAAGAGAACAGGGCTTCATGATACTTTACAGTCAGAAAAGGTTTCCAGGACTGTCAGGAATAGGGAGATGCATTTTGGACTTTTTTTGCTTCTTTAATTTGAAGATAAGGAAGCTGAGGAATGGGGTAACTTGAGAGAGCTGGTACAAGTCTTAACACAGTTGAGTTGGAAACTAAATGCTTGGGGTCAGTGGACTTTCCATCTCCTATTTACATGGGGGCTAACACAGTGTGGTTAATGAATGTGTGGTATTGAAATTGTGCAAGCCCCTTTCCATCTTGAAACCATTGAGATTATCCACCCCATGGCTCTGGGCTCTTCCCTTTTTAGCATTTCATGTCTCCAATCATCTCTCCTAGATGATCAGCTGAACTCAGAAGAGAAGAAGAAAAGAAAGCAGAGAAGGAACAGGACTACTTTCAACAGCAGCCAGCTCCAGGCATTAGAGAGAGTCTTTGAGAGGACACACTACCCCGATGCCTTTGTACGGGAAGACCTCGCACGCAGAGTCAACCTCACTGAAGCCAGAGTGCAGGTAATCCCCTTGTATCCAGGCACACCTCCCCTGGGGGATCATCATCATTATTCCAGGAAGGCAGCAAAAATCCTTGAGGCCTGTGGGGCACAAAAGGGTCACCAAGCTTCTGGGTCCTGCTGTATTGCAGGGCACGGGTGGTGTGGGGAAGGAGCGAGTGTCACAGCAGAGCTGGTTGTGATGGCTGATGGCTCTGTGTGCTTCCCGCCCCAGGTGTGGTTCCAGAACCGGAGAGCCAAGTTCCGCCGGAACGAGAGGGCGATGCTGGCCAGCAAGAATGCCTCTCTGCTCAAATCCTACTCAGGGGACGTGACTGCCGTGGAGCAGCCCATAGTACCTCGCCCAGCTCCGAGACCCACCGACTATCTCTCCTGGGGCACCGCCTCGCCTTACAGGTGAGCCAACAACCCCTCTGGGCTGGCTGGTTTTTGGCATAGTAGAGAGCATTATAGAGTGGCCCTCAGACAGCTCTCATGGGCTGTTTATATTTACGTGGAACAACTGGAGGGTACAGCAGTTTTACCTCCCCACTGATTTTCCTTACCTGTTCTCATCCCACCCCATCTGACTGCCAGGTTTGCAAGGCGGGCTCAGCTCAGCATCATCGTGGCTTTCTGGCAGCTTCTTTTTTTGGTGGTCCCTTTCTCTGCAGTTCAGGAAGTTTTGAAAGAGGATCAGATAGAAATACATGGAAACAGAAGGGATTGCTTCCCATTGCATCCTGTTTAAAGCAAGGAAGAAACCCTACCATGGGGCACAGATCCAGGGGAGGTGAAGGCAGAGCACCTGGGGAGGCTCAACCACACACAGTGGCCAGAAGAGGGAGTTCTGTGGCTGTCCCAAGGCAGTCTCTGGTTGGGATGCAAGGAAGGGCTGGAAACTCACTCTTTGCATGTTGCTCCCATTCCTTCCCTCAGTGGTGAGCAGTTGCCTGAGCACAAGTGTGTGTGTGAACGCTGTGCTGTGCTGTGGTTTGCCCACAGTAAGGACCAGGTGACAGACTGGTGTTCAGTGTCCATCTCCTGTGGTCAGTGCTGCTTAAGAGGTGAGAGGAAAGAAGCACAGATGTGGCAACCCCAGTCTCAAAGGATCTGGGATGTCCATGCACATCACAGGCCTCCCTGTCCTCCTTCGTGCCATTCACAGCCCAGCAGGAACTGGGTGTGGATGTAAGATCCACAGGATGTGTTGGTCTGTGGGGAGCCAGCTGGCTCATCGGCAGTTAAAAATGAGGTTAGTGGGTGTTTTTTAGCACAGTGCCTTCATTGTTGGTAAGGACCTTGAAGCATTTGGCAGGGTTTCTTCCTGTTCCTCTGGCCTGGTCACAGCCACCCTCCTGCTGGCTGCCAGGAGCCATGCCATGCACAGGACCTCTCCTGCTCGGGCATCTTGACCCCCTTTTTGCTCCCAAACATTGTTTGCAGGGTAAGCCCTGTGAACACATGATCTTCCTGATAGTTTGTTGCTTCAGTGCCACGGGGTCCTCCCCATCCCCACTGTAGCTCTGGAGGGACAAGTCAGGTACTGGAAAGGATGTATTTGACAGCCACCAGTTTGGTCTTAGAGATAATAGCCCTTATCCTTTGGATTTCATCCAAGGACTGCTGTCTGACAAACCCCCCCTTTTGTGGTTAAGGCCTTCTGTGAAGTACTACTTGGTGTAGCACCCTAGGGAAGCATCTAGGTGGTGAGATCAGGGAGGATAAGCAAGTTCCTTCCCCACCCTGCTGAGACTGTGCTGGTGACAGCACCACATCCCTGCTAAACACTCGTGACTTATTTCTACCTCTCACACTTTTAAAAATAGATCAACCCTCCCAAGATGTTTACACAGGGGATTTCACAAGGGCTTCTAGAAGAAGACCCTACAAAGGTAACTTCCAGGGGTACACTGAGAAAGGCTGTCTGGGGCCACTCTGGGCAATGAGAAGCCCAAGGTGCCTGGGATGTGCAAACAAGGAGAGCAAGGCAGAAGGCAAAGTCTTAGGGTTGGGTTTTTCTCCCCCTGAGGTCCAGAGCTGGCTATGCCTCTCCACAGTGCAGACACATCCTCACTGTTCTGATATCTCCCCCTTCTCTTAAGCCAGTATGTTTCAGCACAGACATGTGCAGCTTACAGTTGTCACCACCGGCTGACATGTCAAACTAGGATGGACTCTGCCCAGCATTGGCAGAGGAGCAGAGCATCTGATTTCTGCAGTGTGAAGTGGTCAGGACTCTCAGACACTCCATGCTCTTCAGGCTTTCTGTTCCTACCCATCATCTCTTAGCAATAGTGTTCAACTTAAAGGGCACCAGGGCCGAGCTGTCACAGCCTCATTAAAGCTTTGAACTGAGTGAGGTTATTACAACACTGGACACTTGGTGAAATAATATTGAAACACTCCAGCCATGTGGAGTGTTTGCGTGGCCCTCTGCCCCCTCCCCATCTCCCTGGACCAGCCCCTGATTTACAGCTGCTCCGGGAGAGGGCTGAGAGCAGGGCCCAGAGCTGCGCCGCCGGTGCTGGTTTTACTCTTAGATCTGGGGAAAGTTTTCAATCAGCGTGTTTGTTCTCCAAATACACTCAGCCACAGGTCAACCAAAGCTATTTGCAGATCTGTGTCACATAGACAGCCAAGTAGATACTATTATTTTTTTGAAGTTGAAATGTTTTGCTTAGACATTTTTTAGCACAGGTTCCTAAGAAAACAAGACTTGCAGTCGCGCTGTCAGCCCGCACTTCCCACTCCAACAACCTTTGACTCCACGGGCCATTGAAAACCATATTTGAAAGGAGGATTTTAGGCCTCAGAAACATGATGTTGCTCTGTGTTTCATGAAAGCAGACAGCTGAGTGGAGGAAGGAGGACCTGTCTTTGCCTGAATGGGGCAGAACAAGGGGCCAACAGGGTGACTTCAACCCTTATTAGACCCTGAGGAGTCTCTGGAGCAACCCTCAAGTTGTTCTGATGTTTTGAGACAGCCTTCTTGTGCACTGCTCCTGGTAGAATGACTTGCTACAAGAGGGTGTTTCTGAAGATTTTCAGTTTAGCAGAGGTTTCACTTGGCACCAGTAATTTTCCCCACACCTGTGGGGACCTCAGAGCCAGAGACTCCTGGGAGTTTCAGCCCGGACTTGGGCAGCAGCCTGGTTTTGAATGGGGACAGTTTTACACCCAAGACAGAAAAATCCCTATTTTATCTGATCTAGGATATCCTTGAGGCTCTTCTTCCAGCACAAAAACATGGGAGAGATGCACACTATGAACAGGTGGGAATGAGAGCTTAAGTAAGCACCAGCTTTAGACCTTGTGAGACTTTGCACACTTCTGCAGGCAGCACTCGGCTCCTGACGTGGTGCTGACTTACAGGTGAGGAGAGTGACCAGCCCAGCCATGGAGAGGGAGCTGAGGGGGTGCAGCCAGCTGGGGAGAACTCCAGGTACACCAATCCATCGCATCCTGGATCCTGCTGAAATGCAGCTGTTGCAGCCCCAGTTGGGCAGAGTCTGTTTTATTGTCCATCCTCCGTGTTCTTCCTGGAGCTGTCAGAGACTCTGAGAGTCCTGAATGTTTGCTTTCCTGGGGAGAGTATTCAGTGCTTTTCTCTGGGTGGGTGTGTAAGCAGCTTTATATCCTGTGGATCTCAGCTGCCCTTTCCACGTGTGTAAGCTGTGGTGTTTCCACCGGTCCTGATGCAAAGATGACAGTCCTTCACTGAAGAAGTTATTTTCCTTGATTTTAAAGTGAGAAATAGGAGTCATATGGCCTGGGATGGAACCTACCAGTTCTTCCTGGTTTGGATCTCCTGGAGGCTGAGGATTCAGGCAGCACTGGATGGCATTTAAGCTCCTGACAGGTCAGCTCTGCTCTATGAGGTCAGAGATACGACCAGTACTTTGGGATGAGCAGGCAGTCCTCCAGCCTGGATCTGTGCAGCAAATGCCCTGTCCCTCAAGGGAGATTTTCTGTTTCAAAGAATCCTCCAGTCATGGAGCTCAGTGCTGGAAGAAATTTAAAAAAAAAAAAAAAGGGAAAAGCCAAGCCATCTTTTTTCTCGGGCTATGGATGGAGGGGAGGGTTTCCCAGAGCCTCAGCCATGAGCCACCTGGGCAGGCAGATGGAAAAGGTCAGACCTGAGCTTGCCTCCAGCAGAGCATTTGTGGTTTCCTCCTGAATGCACTGTCTGTGTTACATGGGCATTTCTCGTTCGTGTGGTGATGGTCAACTGGTTTTGATCTGTGGATCCATGGACAGGAAATGCAGCAGGTCAGACAGTGTGCTGGTTTGGGGGTGGAGGGGGTTTGGTTTTTTTCATAAATCCATGGGTTAAGCAAGTTTTCAAGTGGTCTGGAAAACAGATTTGCAGATTTTTTGGTAGGATAAGAAAAGAGTCAGAGGTTTTGGTTTAGCCTCTGCTGTCAGAAGTGATGGTTTTCATGAATAAAGTCATTATTTGAAGGGAGAAAAAGTATTTCATGGTTGTTTTTTTTTTCTCCCTGAACCTTCAGGGCATACTCTTTATGATCAGCTGAAGTTTTGAGGGGAAAAAAAAGTGCGGAAATTTTCATTCCAAAAGGCTGAAACCAGAAAACATCCCAGTTGTTGAAATGGGTTTTTCCCAGAGTGTTTCTTTAATGTAGCATGTGTTTGAGAAGTGACGCGATTTCACAACAAATAAAACCAACAATTGCTCTCATCAAAAAGACACTGCTTCCAGTGGGAATACTTTTAAGGACAATGGTCTGACTGGCAGGCTGACCTCATTGTAAACTTTTTTTTTTTTTGAGGGGGGGTTAGAAAATAGGAAGTGGAAATTTTCCTGTTGACTTCAAGCAGCTTTGGGGCTGTCTGTCCCCTGGGTGAGCGAACCACAGCGGAAAGATTTACAGGGGTGGGAAATATAGAGGAGTGGCAGTTCCCTGCTGGCATCAGAAACTCATCCCACAGGTGTGGAAATCCCAGGGTTTGAGGCCACGTCTGATGTGATGTTTCTCTTTCCATCCCACAGTGCCATGGCCACCTACTCTGCCACGTGTACCAACGCCAGCCCGGCACAGGGCATGAACATGGCCAACAGTATTGCCAACCTGAGACTGAAGGCAAAGGAATATAGTTTACAGAGGAATCAGGTGCCCACAGTCAATTAACGACTGGAGGCAGCTGCTGCCTTGCAGAAGGAGAAAATGCAACAGCACCCGTCCTGCTTCGCAACTTGTCCGTGCTGAACTAAAAAAAATAAAAGAAAAAATAAAAAGAAAAAGAAAAAAAAAAAAAAAAAAAAAGAAGAAGAAAAAAAGCCAACCCTCGCCCAGAACTGAACATGAGGAGCAAACTGAACCGTTCGTGAGTGACAAGGTTCCTCCTTCCTTTTGGGATAATGCCACCATTTTTTTTTCTTGTTATTGTTGGGTTTATTGCTTCTGCTCAGTATACTACGAGCTTCTTCAGTAACGGACAGTCTCACCCTTGTTGGTCTCCACTTTTGTATGGGACTGCAAAAAGAAACCTCTGCCAGTCTCAGCCCAGGGGCCAGTCCCACCACCACCGTGCTGAGATGCAAAGCTTGCTCCTCTCCCTGCTGCCCCAGCTCACCCATGGAGAAGTTGCTTGGTCACCGCTTCCCATTGTATCCACCTGACCCTCCTCCCTCCATCCCCTGTACCACAGAGGCAGCGCCGTTAGTGACAGTCTGCGAGAAGCCTGTAAATGCAACGAGATGGATTCATCCTGTCTGCGTTGCCTGGACCACTCCAAGGTGTGAGGAAGACCTCCTTGTGCTCCAGAGCATTTCAATGCTTTGCTGGGTATTCCCAGCAGTGCTGCCTCAAAAAAGCCAAAGAAGAGAGAGAAGCCAACATGGGTGTGTGAGCGGGGGGAGGGCGGCGGAGGGATCGCTCTGTAGTGCCAAGGATAGGACTGTTAGGACACTCCTTTCTATGCCTTACAGTTTGTGCCACAGGGAAAGGCGTTGTCCAGATGCATTTGTTTTATATATACTGTATATATTTATATATATAAGATAATACATGCAAGCTTGGTTGGTGTTTTTTTATTCAACAAAATAAAATCCATGGAAAATGTTTGGGATGTTTGTGCTGCATCCAGGTTCCTGGAGCCATGCATTGAAATTCCAGCCCCAGCCTCTCTCACCCTTGTCAGAGCTCTGCCCGGCAGCCTTGGGCAGCGCTGGAAGTGGCAGCTCACGTCCTCCCACGAACACCCCACAGAAGTGGTGCTGGAGGGAGCCACACTCCTCGGTAGGTTTTCCCCACAGACATTTGCAGCTTCCTGGAATACAGTGAGGATCTCCTCTCCATTCAGGCAGGTTCATGTAGTTCTTGGGAACACACAAGGACATCGCTATGGAAAGTCTCTGCCAGCCCCTCTGACGACAAGTGATGTCTCAGTGTCACACCAAAGACCTTTTCTCCCCCTGTTCCATAACACTGCCCAATGAGGCTTGTCCTGTAGCCTTAACCACTCTCCTTTGCTCTCCTTGACTGCTGTCCTCCCTCTGGGCTCTAACTAGGACCTAAAAGAGGTTTCTTCCATACAAGCATCCTGAGGAAACCAGGATCTTTTATGTTGCTGGTGATGTCTGACTCTTGGAGGGAGGCAGGGGGCTTATTTATAGCCAACAGTACTTGTGTCCAAACTGAGGTGGACTTTGCCATGGAACAGTCCACTGGAAGTAGAGGAGCGACTCCATGGTCCAGGCTGGACCATAAGGGAAGGAGAAGGAAACTCTGTCATGAGAGTGAGTTCTGTTGGAGGGGCTTAGGTCTCCACCCTGGTTTGCTGCAGACACACTGGGCACATGTAGATGTCTGACAGTGGGCTTTGGTAGTCTAAAACATCGTGTTGCAGGAAATGAGAAAGAAATCTCTTTAAAGTGAAGGTGCAGGTTAAACTGGCAGAAGATGAATGGAAATCCAGCCAAAGTATTTGAGCTAACACTGGGAAAAAAGCCCCAAATCCAAACTTGAGTGAGTTGTGCCTGTGATTGTATGTGTTGCTGCTGGAATTTTTTTTTTCTCCCTGTATGGGTATTTTTGACGGGAAAAAGAAATTAAATTGTGATCAGGACAAAAAGCTGAAAGTCACAGAACATCAGCAGGGACAGAGAGGCTGGGCAAGCACTTCATTTTAAGAAATCCATCATGTTCTGTTTGGTCCCTTTTTTTGGCTTTCTGCAGTGTGGAGAACCTCACATCTCTAAATATTTCTATCATAAGTAGTGCAGTTCCAGCTCCTAGAGCCAAGTGATCATGCTGGAAATCTCAGCCTGCACTTAGAAACTCACTCCTGATTGCTGTGCCTACTCAAACAGAGGAACTGTTGAAAAACGTGTCCTGCACGGGCAGAAGGGACACGGTGCCATGCAACGTCACTCAGAGGTTGTTGAGTGCCTTAAATTGATGCTCTCCCTTCTCCTTGTCTTGCTGCCCTTCTCTGCAATCCTCCAATATCCCAGCAGTGACAGCAGCCTGGATGAGCTTCCCTGACCTGCCCCAAGTATCCACCCTGGAGCTCTTTCCTTCAGCGAGTTTCAGCTCTTTCCTTCAGCATCTTGGTGGCCTTTTGGCCCTCCCCTTGTCTTTGCCCCCCTTTTCTGCAGTAGGAAAATCACCTTGAGCAGCTTTTTTTGTTGTTGTCCGTATGCAGACACCTCTTTCTGAGGTTAGCAAGGAGACAGCTCAGAGAGCATGAAGCTCGTGGTACCCCATCACCCGTCCATGGACCCAGACACCCATCCCCACACTGTGATGTTCACATGAGGGGGTCACATATGCAAACCCACCTTCAGCCTCCTCACCATATTTGTGTGAGGAATGGAGTTGTCTGGCACAGGCTGCTCCCCTGAGAAGGTTGTGCAAGCTTTTGACCTCCAGTTTGAGTTGGGCTTTGCCTTGGTTTGGGTTGCTTGGCCAGGGATGTTCTCACAGCTGACTGGGCTGTTGTCAGTTCAGGTGAGGCCTCTCACATCACCTTTGAGCTGGGTGATGGGTGACCCAATGATTGTTTTGTTTACGTGGATTTACTAGACAGAGTCCAGCCAGATGAAGGGGCAGGTTTTGGTGTTTGTTTCTTAATTGCTGGAGATCTCAGCCAACAGGCAGCGTCTTGTTGCCTATCAAGCCAAAGCTTTTATTATTGTGTATGTTTAATCTGTATTTTGCTAAAACATGTAAATATATGTGCAAATCAAGGGCCTTATCCTCCAAGCATGGAGCTCTCCAGGGTTTTAGTAGACTTTTGGCTGCAGCTCTAGGAAGTTGCCATGGTTACCACAGTTATCACTACTTTTGGGTACCATTCAGGGGAGAAAATGGTCTTGAGACACATTTCTCTCAGCAGCTCTGTACAAATGCTGTTTTCTCAGGCTCCCCCTTTCTCAAGAGGTGACTGATTCTTTCTAAGTGGGATTTTTGAGCATGACAGGGATGGATGATTGATGAGGCTGTTGGAGCTTGACGTGTGAAGCCACGGGATTCCCAGATGGAAGTGTATCCTGTAAATTATCTCTCGCTTTGTGATGTAAAATGTACAGTGTTTACACTAGAATAGAAATGATCATTTTCAATAAAAGGGGGAACAGACTCCCCAACCCTTTCTATAAGCTGCCACATCTGTGTCCTGTGTTGCTGCCTTGAGGTGTCCTACAGTGTTGGCTGGGGCTGGGAACATGCAGGAGCCTTGTGGGGGGAAACAGGGGGACTGGGGACGGTGGAGCAGGGCTTGGGGCTGCCTGCCCAGCTGTCCTGGGGACACGGTGCAGCCCATCAGGAGACCACAGAGAGACCCCAGTGGAGGTGGGGACCCCTCTGCTGCACACACTGTGCAGGCCAGCAGGTCAGGCTGTGTCCAGACCCCTGCCTGAACCACAGGATCCTTCTGGCAGCACAGGCAAGTTCAGCAGAGCATAAGGCAGGAAACACCCACAAAGACTTCTCCTCAGAGATGGTTTTGAGGAAAAGGCAGGACACACTGTGGCTTCACCCCCATCTCCCTACACCCCCCTGGGCTGCTGAGACACCAGGTGGGGCTGAGTGTGGGGCAGGAGGGATGAAAGGGGGTCTCCCTTCAGAGAAGGGAAGTGAGGGAGGGATGGGGATCCCTGTGTGAGTGCTGGAGATGGGCAACCTGCAGGGAAGGAGGGGAGGAGAGAAAGCAATAAATGAGAGGAAAAGGATGGAGTCCCTTCACCTGTGCAGGGAGCAGAGATGGGCTCATTAGGGAAATCCCTCCACTGCAAAGCAAGGGAGGTGGTCAGAAGGAGTTCAGAGGGTAATGAGGGCTAATTAGTGCAGGCTATTAAAGGAGGGATGGGGGAGGTACTCATGGGGAGTTTTTGTCACCTGGGGACACTAAGCTGGGCTGGAGCTGGTGAGTTGTGCTTCAGTGCTTGGGTCTCTGCTGGGAGCTGCTGTTGGGTAGGGGGGAGATGCTGGGGGACTTCTGTGACTTCCCTTCTTGGTCACTAAGTGGTTCATTTGGATTTGAGCCAAATGTTGGGAATTGGGAGTGTATTTGGGCTGGCTTCCTGTTTCCCTGCTGATCTGGCTTCTGACCCTCTGTGGGCAGTCAAATTTCAGCAGCCCAGTCCACAGAGAGACCCCCTTGAGAGGAGATGGGTATCTCTGCAAAGCCCTCAGCAGCGAGCCAAGCTTGCATTCCTTGCAAAGCTGATTATTCACTCCTCTGAAGCTGAAATAATAATAATATCACTCACTATTTCTCGATTGCCAAAATAAGTAGGCTTGTAAATAGCATTGCTTCCAAGCTGATTTGGAGACTGGAGTGGCTTGGACTGAGTCGAAACAAGCTTTGGATGTCCAATCAGACCTTCAGCTGGCTCATCTGAGCTCTCTGGGTAGGGGTCCATCTCCCCACCTGGTACTGCTGTGCTGTAAGCTCCTCCCCTGATGGCTCCAGCTCTCAGTTTGGCTTGGATTTTCCAGCAGGACCAACAAAAAGCATGGCAGAAGCAGGGCGTGGTGGCCTCCCCACACGCAGCTGCTGCAGGATCTGCTGAACATGCATTACACATGTGTAGTATTCCCACCAGAGAGGAGATACCTAATTCACTTGGGCTTCTTTATAGCAAAGTCCTACCTCCTGCTCACAGCTGAGTGACAGGGAAAGCCACGGGGTGGTTCCATGCTTGGGGGTTACCCATGGGGGCTTTATTGTTCACCTTTCCCCACCTCTGCCCCTCCAGAGACATCCCAGGTGAGCAGGAGCAGCTGCCCAGTGGCTTGGTTGGGTCTCTGCAGCCTGGATTTGGAGCTTAGCACCGTTCCTGGGCTCCCCACCTCCTCTCTTGGGGCTTTCCCACCAGTTCTTTCTCTGCCCTTGGCTGCCTGATACACTTTTCCTGCCTCTCAGCGAAGTGTGGCTTGTTGGGTATTTTGTGTTTCTGCTCGTCCAGCAAAACTGAGGAAATACCAGGAAGCAGCAAAAATCAGGAGAACAGGAGCGGGGAAACCCCAGTTCCTTTCACAAGCCAGCAGCACCTGTGGTTCCTACCAGCAGGTGGTTGGCACGTGTGGTGTGCGCTCAAGGGTGTTCAGAAATTGGGTCTAACAAAAGAAAATTCTCTTTCTCTAAGGAAAGGCAGGCCAGCAGTCTCTTTTTGGTGGCTGGAGAGGACCATATACTATGCCTGAACCTTCTTGCATACCCCTGATACCTGCTTTTGGGCAGGAAGGTGTCTGTGGGGCTGCTGGGGTCACGGTGTCCTGAGTGGGGGAGTCCTGCCAAGGTTGTCACATCCAAGAGCGAGGTGTTGGTTTTGAAATGAAGTGGAAAGGTAAGGGACTGTCCCCTTTCAAGGTGGGGTTAGGAGATGGTTGGGCTGTGCCCTGTGCTCCCCTGCAGCCTCCCAGGCTGCAGTCCTTCAGTACTTCAGTCCTGAGGGTGATGCTGGGATGGGGCCCCAGGGTCTCCAGCTGTAAAGATAAAGCTCCAGTGGCTTTGGTGGGGCAGGGGGATCAACATCTCTGTGTCATGGCAGGGAAAGATGCTGTGGGAGTTAACAGCAGGCCGAAGGATGACAAATGGCAACAAGCATCTTATAATGTCTCGTCCTCTTTTTCTATTTTAGCAGCTCTTCTAAGATCAGAGTTACTCTTTCCAGCACCTTGGCCAAATTTTGCTCTCTGTCTCACTGGAGCCCCTCAGCAGTCTCGGGCAGATGCTGTTTTCCTTTGCCTCCTGCCTCTGCCTGTCCAAGCAATGCCAGATGTTGTCTCACAGCTGCTGTTTTCCAACCCAGAGGTGCTTTCAGAGTGGGGGCCAGGTGGAGCCCTCCTTCTAAATGGGAGGTGCTAAAATTAGCCAGGCTATAAAGGCATCTTGGGACACCACAGAGCCCCCCATTTCAGTGGCCAGGTGGTGAGGTCAGTCCCACCTTCCTGAAAAGCAGCCACGTGTGAAGGAGATGAGCGCTCCTCCACGGCCACCCCCAAGGAGCAGAGGAGGCAGTGAGCTTTCCTGAGGGTAAGTGGGATGTGAGGTTACCCCACCACTCCCTCTTGCCATCGTGGGGCTGGCACTGTGGATGCTCTCAGAAAAACCTGTCCCTAGGCAGGAAAAGTCACACTGTGCTTCTGAGGAGGGTCCTCATAACGCTGCTGAGCTGACACGGTGGCTTTCTGTCCATCCCACATGCAGGTTTGGGACTGGCTTGGTGACATGTGTGGACTGTGGGCAAATAAAAAGCAAAGGCAGGATTAAAGCAGCTCCAGAGTGTTCTTTGTCCCCAGCTATGAGGGGTGTGAGACAGCTAAGGGTCTCCTCTTCTTCCTCCCCAGGAGACTCAGCTTGGGTGGGAGCTGTCCTGCCTGGGAAGAGCCACTCAGCCCAAACCAGAAAGGGCTGTGTTCACCCAGGGGGATGAGCCAGGTCCATCCCACAGTGGAAGGAGGTGACTCCCACAGCTGGTGCTTTGCCTGTGGATTTGCATCCCACAAAACTGCCTGACTGTTGTAGCAGTGCTGGTAGAAATAGTTTCTAGAGGAGCTGTGCTGGAGTCTTCAGTGGACACATGGGTGGATGTGACTGAGCTGAGGCTGGTCCTGTTGTAGAACTGGGAACTGAACTTCTTCCAAGTCAGCCCCATCAGCCCCCCTTGCCTCAGCAAAGAGATGTGAGTCTTGTAGATATGGGACCCTCAGGGAACAGGGGTATCTGGAGGAAAGTTGAGCTCTTTGCTCCTCTGGCTCGTGAGGGCTGGGTGGGACAGGGAGCTCTGCCACATGCCCTCTCTTGCTGCTGCCTCCCATCAGCAAAGCATCATCTTGTGGGAATCTTCAGCCCATCTCAGAGGGGTGGGACAGCAGCACCTCCCTGAACTGGCTGCAGGACAAAGACCTTCTGGACCATGTTAAGGCCTGATCTAAGAAGCAAGTACAGCTCTCCAGGCTGGCAGAAGATTTATCACCGTGGCTGAAGGTTGTATCTAAAGCTGGTTGAAAAATGGAGTTTCTTTTCCTGTGGCAGCTTCCAAGATTTCACATATTTGACTTCATCCCAAATCAGGCCGAGGAGTGGAAATCTCTAAATATACTGCCAGGAAAATGCAAATATGTGCAGGCATGGCAGGAGAAGCTGACACGATAGATTTTCCAGCCTTACTGAAGTGGAACATGTTGAGCTTTTGGAAAACCCACTCCAAGAAAACTGTTGCATTTTGGCAATGCCTGTCTTTGTGCCCTAAGTGAAATGTCCAAGTGGGATGCTCCACATCCTGAGCTTGGCAGGACATGGGCTCTTTCCTCCAGCATCTCTGTCGTGGGCCAGTTCTAGGTGTCTCCTCAGACTGCCAGTGAGCCCTGGGGTCAGCCCAGGGGGATGGGTCTTGCCTGTCATGTCATGTCCACAATGAATGTGTGCCCAGACAAAACTGCCTCGCAGATTCAAAGGATAATCCATGTGCCTTCTCCTTCCCCATCATCTGGTTCTTTTAAGGTCATGAGGATGCCACAGTGCCACCCAGACTGAGACTTGGGGCATGAAGGCCAGAAACCCAGGAGAATGGACTGCCCAAAATCACAGAAATCAGGGCTGGGAGTTACAGGGTTGTGGTTACTGCTTATTTTGGCAACGCATGATACTTGGGTTGTTTCTTTTTTCCCCCCCTTTGCAAACCATTTGTCAAGGTGGGGTTTCACTGATGGAATGCAAATGTCCAAGAGGATTTTCAGAGGCAAATGGGGGATTCCTTTCAATACAGTGACTTGCCTGTCACACGAAACCAGAGCTGAAGGTCCTGGAGGCACCAAGCACATGCAGCAGCGGTGCATCCCCTGCACCGCAGGGTGACTTCTCCCTCCCCACTCAGCATCTGCTGTGCCCAGCCTCACTGTACCAAGGAAAGCTTGCTGGCCAAACATGGCATCTTTGAATAATAAATAATAATAATCTGTCTTTAATTCCCCCCCTCTTTTTTCAGGGATGAACGGCTTCCATCACAGTGCATGGAGGAGAAGCAGCTGTTGACAGGGGGCAGGGTGGCTTCTCTGGGGTTTGTTGTTTTAATCATGGCCTGAGAGAAAGTGACAGCCTGAAGATTAAATGTCTGCTGAAAGGAAATCATAACTCTGGGTGACTCCACTT